TGGATTTGGAGATACATACATACATACATATAACAAAAAAAAATGTGGTTCACAATCTTATTTTTGTTGTTTTTGTTGGTAATGACATCGAAGTCAAATGGTAAATCTTGAACATACATACAAAAGTATTTCGGGTTTGATTAAAATAAAAAATTTGGATCATATATATACAAACGGCCATACGTGTGTCAGCTACAAACCAGAAATGATTATTTGGAGGGAAGGGGGAAATAATTCTAAGCACATTATTTCAAAAATTAAATCTCAAATACACACTGTAATATAATTTCAAACACCTTATTGACTGCAATTCTTCAGGAATTTATGAATCTTCCATTAAAGGTTCTTATTTCTTCTTGAACTCTTGAGGTACGATATATCCGATATATTGGATTTCCCCCCAGTGGATACTCCACAAATCTTGGGATCTTTCTATCGTATTTCATCCCTTATACATAAATACAAACTCATCGTTCATAGTAAGCGACTTGTAAAACTTCGTTGTTGTTCGTCGAGAGAGGACTTTATTTTGCAATTGCTTACTCAGCACAAAGCAGAAATAGTTGTTGTTGTTGTTGTTGCTGCTGGTTACAAGATGGACGAATGTTGTAACTGCCAACAGCGTTGTGGGACACTAGAGATTGGTGAGCTTACTGGTTGTTTTGATATTAGGAGATCAAACGTCTGAAAAAGCCGAGTGGAAGCAGTGCCTACTGCAGAAGGTCAGGCTTCGAGTTCTGGTCCGACCAATATTCATAATTATAGAATAATAGAAAATTAATTTCTATAATCGCAGTCGCCCCTCGGCAGGGAATGTCCAGAAGCTCGAGTGATTTTCTGACATGAAGAAAAACTCATCATAAAAATCTGTCAGCCGTTCCAAGGCGGCTTAAAAACATTAAGAAGCACACCATAAATTGGAGAAAGAACTCGACCTCAAAGCGGCTGCAATTATATATAAATATGTATATAGACATGTATAAACTGTAGGTCCCTCCAGGAGGACATCGACCGAAAATTGCTTTCGCGGTACCAATTATATATGTATATATGCATGTATATAGACATTTCGTCGTACCATTTTTTCACTTCCAGACCCATTTCACTTTCGTATACAGTCTCTTTTTGGCTTTGAAGCTCGTATGATTTTCTCCGACATCAAATTAATAAAGTCACACGATAAGGAGCTATATTGTTTGAAACTTCATTTAGTACTGAACGGTTCGGAAACGGTCTTTCCAGTCTTAACGCAGCCCTTGCTGTTGCCGAGCTCCACTTTACATAGCCGTATAAGCTTCACGGAAATAACGAATTCAGACATAGCGACATAGAGGTAGTACATTTTTCTGCTTTAAAATCGACGAAACGGTATTGACTATCCTTTCGTCTTAGATATTTTCTGAGATTTGGCGCATAGTGTATATGTGGAACTGGTAGAGTTGCCAGCTCTGAAGCCACACTGATAAGATGATAAGATCCAATCGGTTTGTTGAAGGTGGACTTTAGTCTTTCACACGGTAATAAGACTTTACATGCGTTATTGGGGAGACTTTTCCGGCGATAATTTGAGGAGATTGTGGGGTCCCCCTCTCACTTTGTTGTTCTTCTGGCATGCAATTGCTATTCGAAGATCGACATGGACGGGTAATTAGTTAGTTAGTTTAAGAGGTACTTAATCACGGAACCCTGATCAAGTACACTTAGTCATATTGTCTTGTTTTGATACCTATGTTGATCCTGATAAAGAGATTCTTTTCACCTTTCAAAGCACTTGATTATAAAATTCAGAAGTATCACTACTCCTACCGATACAAGCTCTATAAGGTAATCGAAGAAGAAATTTCCGAGAAAAGGATAACAGACCGTACTGAAAGCTGATCAGTGACAGCGGTAGTGTTCCACCGATCCCTTCTCATCTATGTTCTATGTTGTACAAGTGCGGCAGAAGTCGTTTAAGAAGCAACCCATCCATGAGTTCCCATGAGATGCGGTTTAGAAGGAATAGAAATTTACTTATATTTATCTCAATTAATGGCGAGATTCGTCTTGTCACATTGCACGTAGTTTTGCTCTGCCATTTGCTGTTGACTTCTCGTGAAGGCTAGTCTTAGCAGATGCTTTGTCAAGGAAAGCGCTATACCCGCGTTTTTTGCCGAATTCATCATGCTTAGGATTGTTCTCTCTCTGGCAGTTCCCTGCGAAGTTCCTGTGACCGCAGACCCAAGCCACGGACGTCTCGCATACAGTCGACAGTTTATTTAAGATCTCTCTGCACTTTATTGCCGCCTTTGAGTTGGTATGATTGTATTGGGGAGACTTAATGGTAGCCTGGCGGTCAGAATATATATACATGGTTGAGTAATAGAACGCCGCCAAGTGCTTCGGGCTCATTTGGTATTTCGGTTTCAGCATCTACTGTCGCTCGCACTGTCATTCAGCGGGCTGGAGACACATCAATTTATAATCTTTTACATTTATTTTTATTATTAAAAATTTAATTTTAATTTTTCTATTAAATTGTTTCCAAATTAATTTGTTATTTTCAGAACCAATTACACGAAAATCCACTTTAAAACTATTTGTCATACCAATAAAAATAAATATTCTACCCACAAACTGATTGTCTGACATTCCACTAAACTTGCACTCAACGCAATCGCCGATCGCCGACCGCAGTGCGAACAAATTTCGATTTTATTTTCCACTGCAATTTTCAGCCTCTTGGAAAAAGTTTTCCTTTCCAGCACAACTTGAAGAGCGCTACAAAACTGCCAACAAAAAGAAGCCGACACAAACAAACAAGCAAAAAAAGAGACCAATAACACTTTGAGTGTGGGATAAAAAGACCAGCTGCTGCAGCAGCCGCTTATCGTTTGTGTTGGAAGAGTAAAATAAAGTACTTGCAAGGGCAATAAACAACACCAATAAGGCACGAACAACACCCGACAAAATAGAAAATTTTTTTCTTACTTTTAAGTTAAATCCCTAAAAGATCCTTTAAGCTTAAACTTTTAGGTTTTCATTACTGTGCGATGCACAAAAGCCGCTGTGTGCTTAATCGAGTTTATCGCTGACTAGATTTTAAGCGCTTACACCTGCACGCTTTTGTCTGTCGCCTGTGCGAAAAGCAAAGCAAAGAATAAGAAAATAACTTTGTTTGATGGCTTTTAGTGTGGTGTGTATCTTAAATACTATTTGCTTGTACAAAAATAAATTTAAATTAATTACGTCTGTATGGAACAATGATGATATGACATTATTGCGCTCAACAACCGCGTCATGGGTTCTGCTTTCTTCAGACCGGATAGGGAAGCGAAGGTCATGTGTCTGGTAGTGAACGAGAACAAGCCGAAATATCAAGAGTCAACGCATTCGCGACTCGACTCCCAACTCACTGTTGACAGCCATAACTTCTACATTGGAATCAGTATTCCAAACACCAACAATGTGAGCCTGGAAGTCCAACGCAGAACTACTCTTGCCAACAGGTCCTACTTTGGACCGAGTAGACAATTGAAAAGTAAAGTCCACCCTCTACGAATGCAGACCAAACACTGCAAGTCGCTTATGATTGCCGTCCTGGTAAATGGTATGGAGGCATGAACGATGATGAGTCCGTGTTAGAAGTTTTCGAGAGAAAGATTTTGTGTAAGATTTATGGTCTTCTACGAGTTGGGAACAGGGAATACCGCAGCCGATGGAATGATGAGCTGTAAGAAATATACAGGCGGCCGCGGTAACCGAGTTATTATGTTATGGAAAATTAATTTAAATAACAAATTAAACTTGCCGTCGACCCTCGGCAGGGAAAGTCAACCCCCCCGAGGGTATTTCGGACATGAAAAAAGCTCCTCGTAAAAAAACCATCATCCATTCGGAGGCGGCTTAGTATAAGCTTTTGATCCATCCATTTGCTGGAAATACATCAAGACGCAAAACCACAATTTGGTGGAGGAGCTCGGCCGAAAATCACTTCAGCGCTTACAAAGCGCCAATTATTATTGTTATTATTATTATTATACGACGACATTGACATAGTTCAGCGAATCAAGAAACAGCGGATACGTTGGCCAGGCCATGTGGTCCGCATGGATAAGAATATTCCACATCTGAAAAATTTCGATGCACTACCCGCTGGTGGAAGCAGAAGAAGAGGAAGATCTCGACTCCATTGGAAACACCAGGTTGAGAAAGACCTGGTTACAATTGGTATCTCCTTTTGGCGCCAAACAGTGAAAAAAGAAATGAATGGCGCAATGTTATAAATTCGGCTATAATCGCGTAAGCGTTGTCTACGTCAGTAAAGGAGAAGAAGAAGTATGGAGTAATAAAAGAGGGACGGTCTCGGTTTTTTAAAGGATTTTTTTTTTGATATGCTAGGCATACATTCTCCCTTTAGAGACGCAATGATTTAGACAAGGGTTTAAGTTCTCAAAAGTAATGGATGCAAAGAATAATCTTCCAGGTTTTAAGTTAGGCACCGCTAGATGTCATCCATAATGGATGGCTTTTAACTACGATTTTCGTCTAACTACCCTTCTAATTTATGATGTGTTACACATCAAGTTTCTACCAAAGGGAGATATTTACAGTTTATTCTAATCCGCCTCCGACTAACTGGATTTTTATTTGATTTCAAGTAAGAAGCACAATCGGGAGGGCAGACATTGTTTGCGGTGGGATGACCAAAATTAGTTTACTTCATTTAAAACTAATTTTCTATAATTTTGTAGGTTGGTGCGGCCAACCACTCGATATTCGGAAAATGGGCTCCGAGCTGTTGGATTTTTTCGTTTATCCTTCAAACGCAATTGATAGAGCCTTTAAGTTTGTCGTCGAAAAAGGTTTGTAAGACAATTGCGCATCTCCCAACAAGCCGATTCAATGACTCACATAATTTACGCTTACAAAAACCTGCTCCTTTTCGTTTGGTATTGAGCGGAATGAAAATATGTATCTCGCTAGACAAAAGTTAAATTAAGAAAAGTACTGTTACTTACTATTTCACGCTGTAATTTCGCTATATTGAAATTCGCCTGTGCCAATCGTACGCTCAAAGTTGCCACATCGCTGGTCAGCTGTGCTCTCTCGCCACTATTCCGATCCACTAATTTTAACAGTTTATCCTCCAAACTTTGATTCACCTTTTGCACACGTTTATGCGACTCATACAGTCGATCGTATTTATCTTGCCACGCAATAACACTATCTTCCAATTCGACTTGCCGCTCGGTTTCCTGTATACAAGCCGTCTCCATGGCGATTATTTGATTGTGTTTCTCGAGTAGAGCTTGCTTCAGCGCCTCGATTTCGGTGGTAACCGCAAGTAAGTGCGCTTCACAGTGATTACTTGGCGGCTGTAATATAGAGATAAAGAAAATTTAATCAATTGCTAAACACTCAACGATAAACTGTAAAATGTTGTGATCTAGCATTATTTGAAATAAAAATGAGTTTGTGGTGTGTATCTTGTTGCTTTTTCTATAATTGGAGGGACCAATAGTTTATACTAAGCCGTTTCCGGCTGATATTTTATTGTGTAGTCTTTAATTTATTTCAGAGAGGTTCTTCAAAAAATGATGAATACAGATAGAGTTATTTTTATATAACCAAATAACCTTAGAAACCTTGTCAGATCCTCGTCGTCTCTAAATAATTATGAATTAAATTTGGAATGAAGGGTAATAAAAGCTCACCTTTGCCTCCCCATAGGGGCAGTAGTACCTCAACGCTTCTATTGGAAATACTTGAAGTTTTGAGTAAGCGTCACCCGGCCCAGCCCAGAGGAGGAGTAGTACCTTACCGCCCTAAAATCCCTATTATGTTACAAAATAGGAAAGGGATTTGCTTATCATCGTCCCCTGATACCTAAAATAAGAAGTAGAATCTCACCTAAGAGACTCACGACTCATGTGCTCTTTTTCAGCAGCTGCCCTCGCCGTGGAGAGTTAGTTTTGTCCGTTTTCGCGTGGGCCTCATGTCGATTTGTAGATGTGATGTGACACTTTTGTGTTGATATGATGTGAGATATTGATGTGTTACGGTGAGTTATTGGTATTATTGTCCGAGCTCCAAATCCCTGACTTTGGGTTCGTCCCAACATCAACTTTGGAAAGTTCTGTTTTAGTTTACGCTCTGTTTTAGCGCACTTTTTAATGTCAAAATACGGTCTTATCTAGCGTAGTGTGTAACCAAACTGATTGGGCCCTGCCTGTGTAGTCTTGGATAGACCCATGAGAAAAGCATCTACGCACGCCCCTTTTCTTGTATTTTAAACTTCTTTAATATATTCCTGGAGAACGTGTTAAGAGCTTTAGTTAAATAGAGAAGGCACAATTTTCTTACGCCTGTGGTTTTGCCTTCCCAAAGTGGGATAAGGTCAAAGCCATCTGGTATCCCACTAATGAAAGTCATAATTCTGAAGACATACGATACGATACGAGCAACAGATGATTTCTTGAAAAACAATAGCCAAACTCTACAAATTTTTCATCACACTAGGAGTTTTCGAAGGAATCGCCTTTGACAACGGCGAATACACCATATGATGGGAAGATTAGCTGTACATGATGCGTGGGTTGTCTATTATATTTCGGGTAACCCTCCTCCGAACGATTTGACATACATCGATCAAAAAATGGATTTAAATCGGGAACACTTTCGACATAGATTAACTCAGCATACGGTGCATCGGACGAAATTAATTCAATTGTAGGCGATTAAGGACCAGTGTTTATTGTTGGTATGGTATCGTAGTTAACTCAATAGAGAATTTCGTGAAGGTGGTCCAAAATCAGTTATTGATACGAAAACTATTTTTGCTATGCGCTAACTGATATTGCAAGATCGTAATGTCACCGTGAGATTGAGTCAACTATAGTCATTAGGGGGACCAGCATAAAAAACTTGTTCACGTTAGATTCCACTCACTTCGCCAATCGCTCTAAAAGGGTTCGTATATATTGGTGGAGAGATATGCGAAAAAAAGATAGTCGTTCTCCGAAACACGTCTATAATATGGTGACAGGTGATAATCGTGGATTTATGCGAATGAGCCCGAAAGTAAACAGCAGTTGACTTTATGGGTGTTTAAAGATGGCCGAACTCAACAAAAGCTGTTTGTTTTTTGGTTAAACTGGACGTGTCGCAACCATTCCACTAGAAACCCGCAGAACAGTAAACTTTGAGTGGTACACAATCACTTGTTTGCCAGTTGTTTTTCAGGAAATCCGGAAAACCAATCACCGAAGACGCATCTCTCTTCACCAGAACAATGTGAGCTCGTACACTTCTACTGAAACAACTACACTTTTGAGCACTCGAACAAAGATTTGATGAGATAACATATAATTCTGACGGTTTCGGAGATACCACAACCAAGCGATTTCCGATTGTAAATATAAGGTGTAGTATAAAGAAATCCATTTTTTTTCAAAAGATGGCGATATTTATCTGAATCTCGCGCTGTGTAAATCCGATGACATTTCGCACTAAAAAAGCTTTTCGGACAGTTTTGTGATTCGTTGATTCAGTTTTGTTGGAGCGTGCATCAAATATGGACACTAGCAAAGAGAATTACGCCATATTTTCAGTTTTTCTTCGATTAGGTCAAAAACATAAACCATGGGGCTGAAAATGTGACTAGCATTTATGGTCCTGTACTCCTGATTAGCTATTAACACACGCAATTTGGGCTTAGTCGATTCCGTTCCAGTAATTTCGATGGCAAAGCAGCGCTAAGCATTGGAAGGTAAATTATTAAAAATGTCGATAAAATCATGTAAGCACTGTTTCGACTGCCCGAGAGTTAAAGATTGCACAAAAACCCGTTTGGAACCATTTGAATTAAGCTGGATACGAAAAGAAACTCGATGTAAGGGTGCCACACGAGTTTACGCAAAAAAAAACTCATGGACCGAATCGCTGCTGAATCGCAAAAATGGCCATGAAAAGTGGATTACTTGCGACAATGTCAAGCGAAAACTATCGTGGTCGAAACGCGGTGAGCCGGCGGAAGTGATCGCCAAGCCAGGACTGACGGTCAGGAAGGTTTTGCTCTGAGTTTGGTGAAATTGGCAGAGAATTATCTACTATGAGCAAAACTCTTAACTCGGAACTGTACTTTGCACAATTGTACCGTCTGAAGGTAGCAATCACCGAGAAGCGGTCAGCTTTGGCCAATAGGAGACGAATTGTGTTCCATCAGAACAACGCCAGGCCACACACAAGGATTGTGACTCGCCAGATGCTCTAAGAGCTTGGTTGGGAGGTTTTCATGCATCCACCTTATAGTCCGGAACTGGTACCAAGTGATTACCAGCTGGTCCTGTCCACGACGAAAACTTCGCTTCAAGAGAGATTTGTGAAAATCGACTGTCCTAATCTCTTGCCAATAGGAATGTGGTCCTCAATGAGAGAGGCCTAATGAAATTACCTTCAAAATGGCAACAAGTTTTCGAACTAAACGGCGCATATTTGACCTAAGTCGGATCATTCTAACTATTGTATTCAAAACCTTCACTTTCATACTACACCAATATCAATTTTAAGCGTTCGTTACAGTATCCGCTCGTGGAGAGCGACGTGGCTTCACTAAGCATTTTTAAATTGGCGCCAATATGCGTAGAGAAGAAACGATCGGTGCCTAGGCCAATGCCTCGATGGTGAAATTATGTGAAAACTAGATAGAAACTGAACTAGTTGTTGTGAAAATGCAGTCCAGAATCTTTCTCTATATGCAAGTATAATTAAATATACTATTCGACTTATTTGTTTAACAATAATAACATTACCTCCTTATTTGTTTAGTGTTATAACGATAGACCGTAAATTTTGTAGGGTTACACTTTGCTCGCTGAGTCAAACACACACAAACTTTAGCCAATAACACTAAGTATGAATCGGAGGCGTAACTTTTTGCCAACTGAATTAGTTTTTAATTTTAAAATTAACTTTATAAACAAAAAAAATCTGCTTTGTTGCGGCAGCACTTAAATTTAATTTTTATTTTAATTTTACTCTGAGAACTTTCATTTCATGCCACACACACTAGCAAGTCACTTAGTATTTTGAATGAGTGACAACTTGACAAAACAACAAACTAAAATTAAATAAAAAATTAAACACCGGAAAGGGTTCACAAAATCCGACCGTTATCATTGCAAAGAGACCAGCCAACTGACACCCCAAGCGATTAAACTCTCTCGCTGGCAATTGTCATAGCTGCTGTATGAGCGGCGAGGCAGCTTACCAGTGTATCAAATATTATTATTTGGAGTGATAACAGTTAATGCAAGCACATGTGCATACCTACATACACAAATACAAATGTATATCATTGTAAAGATCACAGACAACACCAACAAACACGACGTCAATGGCAGAAAGATGGAGCACTGAATCAAGTTGATGACATCGAAGCATCACAGCAAAAGAGCAATAGCATCAGCTGAGAATGGGGTACTTTGTGCACACTTCATACATGTACGTATGTATGTATGTGTGATCAATTTTTAATGCCTCGCACTGATAAGCCGTAATCTGAACAGCAACAACCTCAGCGCAAACAGATATTTAAATTTTATTTTATTAATTTCATATTTTTTTTTGTGCGGATACCCAGTCAACATTTGTAAGAGAACTGACAACTTTAATAAGTTCATAGCAATCAGTTAGTTAGTTAGTTAGGTTGCTCAAACACGCAGCCCATTGATCGAACCCACCTGGGCCTGTTGGCCCCTTGTGATACCTATGGGAGGAGTGGGGTTCTACAGAAGAGATTCCTCTCGCATTTCTACATGCTGAAACCACTTAGTACTTGCTGACGCTATATATGCAAGGCAGTCAAAATCGAGATCACGTAGGAAACAATGTCGGGCAACACTTTGGGCGGGGCAGTGGCAGAGATAGTAAGTACTCTACTATCTCCCCCTCGTCTATATCTGTGCATCCGCAACAGAAGTCAGTAGAGAAGCAGCTCATCTTTCTACCTTCAGTCCCTATCAAACAGTGTTATGCTCGTGGGGCTCTGTTTAGAACAAGTAAAGACTTAGTTCTTTTTGTGTCGATCTAACCATTTATCTGCCTCGTCACTTTTCATGTGGTTTCATCAAGCCATCTGCTATTGGCCTTGCTGGTGAACCCCGATCTTAGTAGGTATTGTGCAGAGGAAATAAGTAGGCCTGCATCGTGTGCAGAGTTTAACGCCTCAGAATGATTCGAAATATCAATATGTCCGAGTACCCAAACCATGGTCGATTCACATAAAACCGAGAGATTGCTTAAGACTTCCCTACACCATATTGACGCCTTTGAGGTGGTGTGATTACAATAAAGATAAGAAAAACTACAGCCTAGCTGTCAGAATATATTGTGATATGCTGAGATACTGTACCAGAGTTAATAAACCACAAAATCGTTTCCATTATTGTTGTTAATTCACTTTGAAAGACGCTGCAGCGGTTGGGAAGACACTTGCTGAACCAGGCACGGCCTACTCTGTGCGGTTTCTCCAATGTTGAATGGCCAGACGGCCATTCCCATACAGTTCTGTCGGGAGAAAGAGATGAGTGTCGCGACTGTCTGCTGGATTTTGTCCAGCTTACACCTGCACGAAGCTTTGTCCACTGTCGGTCATCACAACGTGGCCTTGTTAAATAATATCGGCCTTATTGCCGCTTTGGATATCCAATTAACTATGCTCTCTTAGTCCACATATTTTACCTGTTGCCGACCTGCAGGCGTAGATACCGATTATAGTTACCGTAGAGAGTCCGCCAACAGTTATTAATAGCACATCAAAAGGGAGTACTAGACCTGAAGAACGACATACAGACAGGCACTTAAAGCCATTCAAAAACTCTCCCTCTCTGTGAATGGCGTCCTCAAAGCCAAGCCAGCATCCAGATGAAGAGCTCGAGCTGCCTCAAGATTCTCGCGTAATACTGGCGCAACCTTTATCTGGATATTTTAGCAGGCTAAACTCCTACCTATCCAGACTCGACCCCGACATACATAAGGTATTTCCAGACCCCGCACGACACTAACCACCTCTTTACATGCCCGCTAAAACCGACATATATAACCCCCTCTCCCTTTAATCTGAACCCGTCGAAACAGCTCTTATCCTGGACCTCCCATTAGTCTGTCCTTAAGTGGGGTCGGAAAATTCTCTACAACAACAACATTATAGCGTGTTTCGGTAACAGCTCAGTTTACTATCTAAGATTATGCTTAGGTATTTGGCCTCGGTAGAGAGAGTGTTCGCGATACCGGCTTAAACGCAGGTGATGTGTGCGAAGAGTAACATCTTGGTCTTTGAGGGATTCACATCCAGACCGCACTCTCTGTACCATTGGTATTTTGGAGTAGATCACTTAAAACTTGGCGGTATTTCCCAGCCACTGTGCAGGCGATGTCGTCAGCAAGTGATATCTCCTCGCAGTCGGGTCTTTTTAATTTGGGCAGCAGAGAATTAACAGCGAGAGACCAAATGTATGGAGAGAGAACACCAACTTGTAGGGTACCTCTTTTAGCCTCCTAATCCTATTTCTTGGAGTGTATTCGTTACTATTTGAGGTAAGGAATTATTAAAAGCTCCCTCGATATCGATGAAATCGTCTGGTATATGCACTTTGAGGTCCACAGATTTACCCTTAGAGTAGACATAATTCCTCAGTATACAGTCCGGAGATATCTCTTGACGTGTATGTATGTGTATATGTACTTGTGTGCGAAGAGAATACATTGTATTTATATATATAGCATGCCCATTGAATGAAATATTCACTAAAAAGAAAATACTGATAAGAACGAGTTGTATAAGTAACGGTGCGCACAAATACAAGAAAGTTAATTCAAAACATTATTTTTTCTCAGGACAACTCCCCATAAAAATCCATCAGCCGTTCGGAACCGGCTTGGAATACGCAGCAATCCCTCCATTTTGTAAGAAAAGCAAGAAAAATATTTACGAAACCGTTACTTTTGAAAGGATTTTCTGAAACAAATCCTATTTTTGTGACCCCAATTAAAATTATGCCGGATATTCATAATTCCAAAATGTAAATCAATCAAAATCTTTGAATCATACAATATATAAATAAGGAAAAATATGAAAATCAAAAGATATATAAAGAGAAATCTCAAAACCAAAATCTAAACTAAAATCACAAATTATAAGCCGAGGAATCCATAATACAAAATCAAAATCAAAACTGAAGTCTGTTAATTAAAAATTGTAATCTTAATATCTACACAAACTTCAAAAATGCTATTAAAAAATAAACTTCATATCAAAATCTGTATCCAGATTGAAAAAAAATTGAAATCGACATCATCATAATCATAAAACCTCAAAATTAATATATAAAAACTGAATTAATTAATTAATTGAAATTTTAAAATCAATCAAAACAAATGGAAATCCCAAATTAAACCACTCAGTCAGAATTTCTAAATCAAAATCTCAAAATAAGAAAATTTCAAACCAAAAATTGAGAATCAAAATATTTTAATCTGTATATTAAAATATTTATTTACCGAAACCAAATCTTCAAAACCAAAATTTAAAAATTAAAAACGATATCTGTAAATCAACACTCTTAAACCTTAAATTTCCAAATCAAAACTTTGAGTGAGTCAAAATATCTGAATCAATATCACAAAAATTTGAAATCAATATTTTAAAATCAAAGTCTTGAAACCTATATATTAAAATACCAAAACTGAAATTCCGAAATCAAATTCTCAAAATCGAAATCATAAAAACCCAAAATCAAAAGTTCAAAATTAAAATCTTAAAATAAAAATCATAAAACTTGAAAACTAAAATCTTGAGACAAGAATTTTAAAATCAATATCTCTTAATCAAATCCCTAAAATACCAAATAAAACCTCTGCATCAAAATTTCTGAATCAGAATAAAAAATTTTGAAAACAAAATTTTAAAATCAAAGTTTTGAAATTTGAATATTAAAATTTTAAAATTAAAATCATAAAAAGTCCATATTAAAATACCGGAATTTCAAGTTTCAAAATCTCTAAGAAGGAACCAAATACAAACTTAAAACCAAAGACTTAAAATAATAAAATCAATTTAAATATTCTAAAACAAAAACCTACAATCTCCACATGAAAATCCCAAATCAAATCTCTGAGTCAAAATCCCTAAATCAAAATCTTAAAATAAACAATTTAAAAAACTAAATTTCAAAATCAAAGTTTTTAAACCTATTCATTTACTGGTATATACCAAAAAAAAAAAATTCTCAAAAAAAAATTTCGAAATGAAAATCTCCAAATATAAATCGTATAATCTTAAAATCGGAATAAACAAAATCAAAGTCTCAAAATCAAAATCATATAATCTTAAAAACGAAATTAAAAACCTAAAATCTCATAATAAAAAAAATCCAAATCTCAAAATAAGTATTTTTAAATTAAAATTTTAAAATTAAAAACTTAAAAACTGCATATTAAAATAACAGAATTAAAATTTCAAAATCAAAGCACGGACTAAAAATCACTAAGTAGAAAAAATTAACGTCTCGAAAGTAAAATACAAAATTCTCAAAATCATAATCATAAAATCTTGAATCTCAAAACCAAAATATACTCGTATTAATGAAATTAACGATATTTTATTTCTTGCATTTGTTAAATTGGAATTGATAAATTTTTAAATTTTAAATATCTCAAAAAAATAAATAAATATTGAATTCAGAATACAAAGTTTTTATAAAACATCCGCATACTTAACTTTTAAATTATTTAAAATTTAGTTTAAATAGTATTTTTTATTTCAAATATTTAATTTTTTTTTTTGTATTTTAACCACCCTTTAAATAAAATTTTATATATAATTTTTTTTAATTCAGCAAATCCACCCATCATTATGTCTGTTTTAATTCCCATGTTTTCGTTGGTCAATGGGCATTGTCACGGTCTAGTTGACCATCGAAATGACACATACACACTGACAGAAGTACGGATTGGAATTCTAAGCGGAAAAAGTCTGTTCGGTATTTCGCTTGAAATAATTAGTAATGTCCAAGCATTCACTCATTTCAGTTTTATTTCACAACACTGTAAACGAGAAGGTGAAGGTCAGGCTTGCTGATAAGTGGGTGAGGCACTGAAAGTGATTATGAACAAGTTTCGCATATAACT